CACCGCAGCCTTGACCTGCTGGGCTCCAGCAATCCTTCTGCCTCAGCCTTCCAAGTAGCCGGAACTACAGGCATGCACTACCACGCCCGGCTAATTATTATTATTATTATTATTATTATTATTATTATTATTATTTTGAGTTGGAGTCTCACTCTGTCACCCAGACTGGAAATGGCCGCTCCCGGCCACCGCAGCCTCGGCCTGCTGTGCTCCAGCGATCCTTCCACTTCAGCCTTCCAAGTAGCTGGAACTACAGGCGTGCGCTACCACGCCCAGCTAATTTTTGTATTATTATTTTTTTATTTATTGTAGAGATGAGCTCTCGCCAAGTTGCCTGGATGGGTCTTGAACCCGCGGGCTCAGGCAATCCACTCACCGCAGCCTCCCAAAGTGCTGGGATAACAGGCTGAGGCACTGAGCCCAACCTCAGGAGTCTTTTTCATTGCTTGCCATTTGGATTTGGCCTTATGTATCCTGGGCTGCTCAAGCATATGAATTTCTCCATCTTCCCCACTCTTCCAGCTCACTGCCAAGCCACTTCCAAGGCACTGCCCCTTCCATGAGCGTTTCCACCTAGAGATTTTCTAGATAGGCCCTTTCTCTTAAAGTCCTTCTGTCATAAAGACATATTTAAAGGCCGGGCACGGTGGCTCACACCTATAATCCTAACACTTTGAGAGATCAAGGTGAGAGGATTGCCTGAGCCCGCGGGTTCAAGACCAGCCTGAGCAGCTTGGCGAGACCTCATCTCTACAATAAATCAAAAAATAAGCCAGATGTGGTGGTGCAAGTGCCTGTAGTTCCAGCTTCTTGGAAGGCTGAGATAGAAGGTTGAGGCTGCGGTGGCTGTGAGGGTGCCACTGCCCTCACCTTGGTTAACAGTGAGACTCCAACTCAAATAAAATAAAATAAAATGGATGTACGGGTTTGAGGCTGTGGTGTATCCACCATCACTCTCACTATCCCTGAATCTTCCATCACCATCCCTGCAATGGTAGTGTTCACTCCACTTCCTTGAAGATTTTACTCACAAACTTTTAAAAACTAGAAGGCACTGAGTTGAGGAATTTACCCATTCATCTCTAAGAATGTGGACTCTCATGCCTGATTTTTTTCTTTTTTTTTTTTGAGTTGCAGTCTCACTCTGTCGCCCAGACTGGAATGCAGTGGCCGCTCCCGGCCACCACAGCCTTGACCTGCTGGGCTCCAGCAAT